GGGTACACACATCGATCCAAGGTGCCACCCCGCGCCCAGGGCTCCTTCGTCATCTCTCAGAACTACCATCGCGCGACCCACACCCTCTTTACGTTCTCTCTCTTTCTCTCTCTATACCGCTGCTGCCGCCGCCACCACCATCACCAGCACCATCACCATCACCAACATCACTACCACCCCCTTTTCGCTACGAAACGAACGCCCTTCTAGACGTACCTACGCCCGTCACGAGGCACTCTTCCTTTCGTACCTTCTTATTTTACTTACTAGATCTTTATTTTTATGTGTGTATGTGTGTGTGTGTGTGTGTGTTTTTTATTTTATATATTATATTATATGTTTATTTTAATTTTTTCTTGAATTTTTGCAATATAAATCTCGATAATGCATTTTGAAATATTCTCAGGGTTTTGTTCAATGCTGTAATTATGTAATAATGTTACATGTTTCATGTTATGTGTTTTATAATGTTACAAATTTTATTAATTAGTTAAATTTAATGGATTCATTATTCGGTACCTGGAAAATGCAATGAATATTTAAACGAATAATACATTATATTTAAAATACTGTGAGACTGATTTATTAAATCTTCTAATTGTAACAAACTTATTTATAACAATTCCTAAATATTTTAAATAAAAATGGTAATTGATAAAATTAAATGGATTCGTTAATCGATACATGAAAAATGCAATAATTTATCAAAAATATTTCAACAAGATATTACTTTCGGAAAATTCTTCGAGCAATTTATTAAATATTCTAATCGTATTATAGTTAATGGTGCATGCTGCAATGTTTTAAATGAAATTAAATTCAGAGAAAAAAATGAGGAAGTAATTCATTAATGAAATGAAATGAAATGTAATGAAATCTAATGTATTCATTAAGAAGAAGGTACCCGGAAAAAGTGATGACAAGTAGATAAAATTCATCGTGGGAGTCCGATCGATTCGAGTAGGTACATCATAATGAGATAACTCGTGGTGGTCCACGCGCTAAACCACGAAGAAGAGTACAGAGAGAACCGCTAAAGGCGAATAATCCTAAGAGGTTGGTGCAGCACGTTGCAGATATATATACACGAGGGCGATTTTAATCGAATTAACTGAACTTTCACCTGGGTTCGTGGTCGCACGGCCACCGGCAATTACCTACCGAGTATAGTCCTTTTACGTTTCTCTGGATTTCTCTTGAAACTTCGAACGTGAGCTATCATTCTTTTTTCTCGTCGCATATCAATAACTAAATATATATCTTCCTTATAAAAATATTTGCATTATTATCAACCAAACGTTTGAAATCGTTTACCGATATTCATCAAAATTCTGAAACGATTTAATCATTGTTACATCAAATACTAATTATGTTTTAAATAATTTCAACTTTTTCTTACATCCATAATACTCTTTTGTTCAGTTCCTACGCCCTTGGAATATACTTTGCTACTTGGGACATCTTTAGATATTTTCTACAATAAGTATAGAAAAATATTCAATTAGAAAGCTTCGTAAAACTAATAGAGAGAATGATCGGAATATGATAGGCTAGTATTCAAAATAAAAACGATTTTTCTTAATGAAATGACAATTTGAAGAAAAATATACCACAGACGAATTAATCTACTTCGATTTTTCTAAAAACATTCGTGTTTTCTTATAAATAACTTGTATCTCAGAATGTTCATAGGAATTCGACATTTGTAATCAAAAAAATAATATATATATTAGAAGAAAAGAAAAATTAATATATTAATATGGTTCCCAAAAATAAAATTATTATAGATTCAATTTACCCCATAGATAAATGTTTAGTCAAACATAGGATCATCATCTATACTTTTGATCTTAAGGTTCGTTAGTATAACTTGGGTATCGTGCTGACCAAGTACCATTGCTATCATACTTATGCGGGATACATCCTTAAAGAGAGAGAGAAAGATATCTAAAGAAAGAAAGAGTGAGTGAATGAGTTAGTGAGTTAGTGAGTGAGTGAGTGAGTGAGTGCGAAACTGTCGCCACTCTTAGTCAAGGTGGATAATAAATTTTCGTTCTCGCGTCGTTGTCGTTGTCGTTGTGAGAAAAAGAGAAAGAAAAAAAAAATAATGAAATAAATAAAGCAAGAGAGAGAAAGAGAGACGGAGTGAGAGAGGGGGAGGAGGAGGGGGCGTGAGGGGATAAAGAAGGAATACCAAGGAAGGCATGTTACTATATACGAGGCCGAGAATTCCATCGGCCGTGCCATGCCGAGGCACACTCATAATCATCGCAACGATAATTATGTAGGTAAATGCGGGTAAGAGAGAGAACGAGATAGAAAATGAAGAATATAAGAAAAAGAAAGAAAGAAAGAAAGAAAGGAGACAGAAAGAAAGAAAGAAAGAAAGAAAAATAAAGAGAGTGAGAGAGAGAGAGAGAGAGATAGAAAGATGGCAGCGATTCCTTCGCCAGCCAGCTGCCTTATTCGATCCATCGCTAATTATCGTCGTAAGCATCGAGTTAATTGCTACACTCTCTTACTCTCGATCGGTCCGCTTTTTCATCCCTCTTTACCTCACCGCGTCCTTCGATCCTCTCCTCGTCTTCTTTTTCTTGTCCTTGCTTCTTTCTCTCTCTTTCATTATCTTTATCTTTTTCTTAAACTATCTTTCTCTCTCTCTTTCTCTCTTACATATACATACACACATCCACACACACTTAGTTATTCACTCACTCACTCACTCGTTTGTTGGTTCACCGCCGACCTCTCGTCATGCAGATACCTGTTAAGTGTAACGTGGGACCTCGACTTGAAACAACTCTCGAAGAACATTCTCGCGTGCGAGAGACCGACGTTTCTTTTTTTTTTTTTACTTTTTTTTCTCTTTGAAAAATTGATTGAGAACGTCAGCCCCGGTAATATACAACCAGTTTAGAATTTCAACGAGAGAGTTTAGTTGAAACCGATTTAGGCTGTACCGATATAATAATTATCGACTTGTAATAATGATTTTTTTCGAGAATGGGGTACTGTGTTACGTTGAATATCTTGGATCTTTTCTATATATGGTGGGAATATAATTAAAATCTTCGAGATTCTTGTTTAAATTTATATTAGAAAAGACAAATGTTCGTATAAAATGCACTTGTTTATGCACTTGTTTATTTGTAATTTGTAATTGAAAGTAAAGTACAATCGAATGATGTTAAATATATTTAAAATAAAAATGTAATAATCAAAACAATGCTATCCCAGAAATGATAAAATAATAAAATTAACATACATAAGGTTTAGTTTAAATAATCTATAGAAAAATAAAATTAATAAACATTATTTCTTTTAATAAATATAAGTATCGTAGGGAATTTGGACATTCAAAATAACTAGAACTTCGTTTTGATTAATTGGACGTTTCGTCCCTTTATTGGGACTTATTCAGCAACTTAATCTATAAAGTTCAGCGTCTTTTTTATTTAAGCAGACATACATTCTTGTAATATTCAAAAAAACTACACATCTAAATTTCGTTATCCCTTGATCCGTATTTCTTTTTTTGGTTTATTTCTGAAATTATCAAATCGAACTTGAAGTAAACGTACCTACAGAGTTTCATAGTTTGCACTTAAAAAGAAATCATACAATGATTAACACTCTTGTGTAATATTACCATTGGAAATAAAAGAAAAATAGCTATCAATAAGGATAAAACATTGAGTATCATTTTCCATGAACTGTAAAAGTTGGTAGGATAAAAGTTTCTATATTGTTGATCATTGTCGAAATCCAATTCTACGAAAGTTCGAAAAATGGTCTTACGTTAGAATCAAACGAAATAAAGCAATTGCGAGTAGATAGATAGATTGTCTATCGGTATAAGATCGATGATAAAAAGGAGGACAAGCTTTTTATAGGATAGTATTAATAGTAGTAGTAGTAGTAGTAGTAGTCTTGTAACAAATAAGATCGAGAAAGCATATGAAAGAAGCTGAACATAGCGATCATCAAATGAAATTCGAGCTGTCGCGAGTCTACCAATCCAAACGAAGGAATACGTGATTGTAACGTGGATACGTTTCTGCCATACGATATAAGGAAGATTACAATGTCGGTAAGATCCACTGTCTGAACTATTGCAACTTCTTCAAAAGAAGATAATATATAGATAAAAGAAACGGATAAAGGTAATGTAAGTAAGAAAGAACAAAAAAAAAAAGGAAAGCAAAGTATACCTATGTACGAGCTTCCACTTTAAATCCAATTCCGATCGGTCTTATATATATATATATATTTCGAAAATCATTCGGTTCTTTTTGACGATCGAACATGTAAAAAAAAAAAAAGGATATCCTTGAAAAAGAAGAATCTACTGTGTAAGAGTACGATCATTCTGTCTCTTATCTTTTGTATTTTATAAAATTATCCTCGTTTTCTTTGATAAATAATCCTCCTGTAAAGGTTCAAAAACTATTTCTCCTATAACTTCGAATGTCAGTTTCAAATTTTCTTCTTTTTAACAATTGTTATATGAACGTGTAATAAGTAATATACATAATTCATATATACGAGGCATTTCATGTCAAATCGACCAATTTTTACTCCTACCCCTTTTCGATATTACAAAATATTAAAATATTTTAGTTTAATATAAAGTGCTGAAAATATATAATAAACAAAACTACATTGTTATTCATTATTATACCAGTAAATCAAAATGTAAGCTTTTACTTTTATTGGCATTTGAGCATTACGTAATGCCAGAATTTTTAATATAAAAAATACTAGTGGTATTAATTCAGATATAAAATACTATACACATATATATATATATATATATGTTACATTATATATTAAAAAATACTAGAGAATTATTTATAAAAATCCAAGCTAATAAAAAATTTCGTTATTACTCTTATTGACTCCATACAACCCTTATTCCATACAAATGTATCACGCAGTATCCCTCCGAGATAAATTCGTTAAATCTTATCTCAGAAAGTATCCATTGTGATCGAACACCTTCTTCTCTCCTCTTCTCTTCTCAGCGAGAGGAGATCCCTGTATAGCCTTTCGCTGTGGATAAATGCAAAGAATAAATCGAAACCAAGTGGAATCGAAACAGTTCTTGGTAATAAACTGGGAATACAAAGAAGGATTACAATGTTGTTTAGCAAGGGAATCGCAGAAGCAAGAAGAACAAGGAATAAAGAAAAAAAAAAGGAAGATAAAAAATAAGAACGAAGAGAAGAGTGAAAGATAGAGTGAAACACAGCGGCAATGCAAGAAAGAAAAAGGAAGAAAATAAAGAGAGAGAGAGAGAGAGAGAGAAGGAACGTAGCACGAAGTACGCGGTGTGTGCGTGGCGTGGGTGGAGACTGGCCCACGAAGCCCTACGGGCAGAATTATCATACCCACACAGTTACACGAGCTCTGATCTAATCACACTCCCATATACATAAAATAACTACTCTACGTGGGCCCTATGGGGCACAACGCACACCGTACACGAGTACAGAGAAAGAAAGAAAGAAAGGAAGAAGAAAGATCAAAAGAGGTGGAAGGGGTGGTGGAAGAGAGAGAAAGAGCAAGAGAAAAAGAGAGAGAGAGAGAGAGAGGCAGATTGTTTTCAGCTGGGACTCGAGTATAAATTGGCCAATTATTCGGAAATAAGGTAATTATATAAGAAGGGAGTGATCTCCGATCGCGCGGAGAAGAGTGGAAGACGAAGGGACCCAGCGGAAAGGAAGGAAGGAAGATGCTAGAGAGGAAAGAGAGAGAGAAAGAGAGAAGGAAGACGAGGGGGAAGGGGAAGAATCGAAGAGAGAAATCAAAGGCGATTATCTGCCTATAAGGTAGGAATTGTCGGCTGGCATCGGTCGGCTCGCTCTAAGAATCGTTCGCCGTGGGCCCGTTCGATACCGGTCAACACGAAAGATAGATAGAGAGAGAGAGAGAAAGAATAAAAAAGACAGTCCTCTCTCTTTCTCTCTCTCTATCTATCTATCTTTTTCTCTCTGTTGGACTCACAATTTCCATCACATCTCTTTTTCTCTCTCTTTCTATCTTTTTATCTTCTTAGTGAGACCGGCAGATGTTTTTTCTAAATGGAGACGAATTAGTCGATAAATAACAATCGATCGTACGCGTGACGCCATACACATATATACATACATATATACAAATATATATATATATCGTATATGGATATAAACGTGCCTGGAGCTTTCGGTCCACCCCTTTGGAGATCCATCTCGCAGCATCCAGCACGCATCTCGCAAGGAAACGTGAGATCTCGTCGTCAGCCCTAGGCGATAACAGTTTCCATCCGATCTAACGGAAATACTCTCCTCTGTCCCTTTTTTCCACGTGATAAGCAACAATCTAAATAACCTAGCAATAATCCATAACATAACCCTGTCTGCAACAAGGTAAAATATCAAATGCAAATTGTTGAACGATCATATACGTATATATATGTAGTATATAAACCAACGATTATTTCAATTATATGTAAAAGCGTTAATCGTCGTATCAAATGAGTCGTAGACAGAAATAAAATTAAAAGATAAGATACTAGTAGAGGGACAAGAAGGAGACTCTACCACAACTTTCTTTCAAAAGGAAGAGGAGGAGGAGGAGGAGGTATTAACATTCCGAAAAACCGGTGATTCTCGCCGTGGGTATAAGTTCTTTGAAGAAAGAAGAACTTGAGCCCTGGTATAACTACGCTAAGGCTACAGGAGGCTTCTTCTTCTTCTTCTTCTTCTTCTCATCTATACCATCGTAGTATCCATCCACAATACACACACACACACACATATACACGTATAACAACCGAACGCTAGTTGCCGGGGCATAAGAGAACCGCTCAGCTGGCTATTAAGGGCTGCGTGGTGGCCCGAGGCCGGAATTAGCATACCCTCGAACCGAACTCCACCTCCGCACCGATATCTCGCCGAAGAAGAGAATATAACTTAAGTTCAAGCGGATATTATGCCACCATTCTTTCCTCCCTCCTCCTCGTCCTCCTCCTCCTGCACCACCTCCTCTTCTTCTTCGACCTTCTCTTCTCTTCTTCTCATCTGCCCCTCTGTGTTCATCCAAGGGCTCATCATAATCCGCCCTCCTTAACCATACAGGTTAGATTCAGAATCGACTTGTTCTCCATGAAGAAAAGAAGAGAGAATGAGAGAGAGAGAGGGTGGGGGAGGGGGGAGAAGAGAATATTTTCGAATGAGAAAGAAAAGAAAGGGGTAGAGATTTGAGGGAGGTGACCGTTATCGGGAACGATCTCTTTTAATTGTAATCCTATGCTTTCTCCGATAAGAATCAAGACTGAAAATGTTCTATACCTCTCTCTTTCTCTCTCAGTCTGTATGTCTGTCTGTCTGTCTCTCTGTCTGTCTATCCTTCTTTCTCTCCCTCTATCTTCTCGTTTTCTCTTTCTACGTGCGCGAGAATCCCGAATCGCGCTTGCGTTCCACCCAAGCGCGTGCCGTTGACGCCCAGAAAGCGAGAGGCCAGACCTGACCCGGGCCATTAACGTTCCTCTTACCTTATCGTGCGCGACCTCCAACGTTCATCCTACGGCTGCTACCTTCTCCAACTTATTTCAACAATGTATGTGTATGTACATATATATATATATATATATGTATGTATATGCGCTCGTATCTCTGTATATATATATATATATTATAAATTTATATATATATATATATGTATGTATGTATGCATATGTATTTAGTTACATACAAGAAAATTTCTTCTTCACTTCAAATACTTGAAGATATTATCTTCGTAGAAATCGATCGAAAAGAACAAAATTCGATGGTAGAAGAGAAGGAAATCGAAAGAAGAAGAAGAAAGAAGGAAGGAAGGAAAGAAGGACGACGAGTAACTCATATTTTAGCCCAAGGCAGAGTAGGACCCGATCCCACTAAAAAAAAAATCGCGAATTTCAGGAATATTTAAATTATAGATATTTAACGTGCGAGATGTTTCTTAACATTATTCCTTTTTTGTTTTTCTTTTTCTTTGTCTTGTTTTTGTCAATTTTTTCTTTTGTTTCCTCGTACTTTTTGATATGCCGTTCGAAATTATGCTCGACCATTTCACGTTTCCTATAATCTCGCTTTCGGACGATCGGATACAAAAATCATCGGGAGATCGCGTTCTATAATTATTATTCTTCCGGGAGGGTGGAGAGGGTGGTGGGAGGATTGCTCAAAGGAGAATAAGAAGAAGATAGATAGATAGATAGAAAGAAAGAAAGAAAGAAAGAAAGAAAGAGGGCGAGAACGCCGTAAGGTGATCCCCTTTGCGGGTAGAAAAATTCAGAAACAATGTTTTTTCCGCGAGGTAGAAAACAGGATACGATTAATCCGCTCGCCAGCGGGTCGAGCTCGATGATATTATGGCTGATAATTGGTCGTTCGGGCAACTCGAGTCCGTACGAGGAAGACAAGAGAAAGAAAGAGAGAGTGAGAGTGAGAGAGAGAGAGAGAAAGAAATACGTGGTTAAGAGGAAGGCGGTAGAATAGGGACGTGAAAGAGAATGAGAGAGAATGAGAGAGAGAGAGAGAGAGAATCAAGCAAGCAAGATAACACAGCGCAACTCTGCTCGACCAACCCATAACTAAGGTGCGCCTTATTTAAAGCATTATAAGGGCTCTAATTAATACAATGTGGGGGTAGGCGAGATTTTTTTACGAGGCCGCGGGGCTTTATCGCCAATTAAGTGGTGCTCTACGGCAGACAGAGAGAGAAAGAGAGAGAGAGAGAGAGAGGGAGAGAGAATCGCGGCCAACTCTTGAAATAAGAAGGAGGTGGAGGAGGAGGAGGAGGTGGAAGAAAGAAAGGAGGGAGAGACAGAAGGTCGTGGTACAGAGGAATGTCTACCTCCGACACCTTGGTCTCAAGAACACAGCAACGTTGCCAACATCTCCAACGTAATACTTTGTCTTCTTCTTCTTCTTCTTCTTCTTCTTCTTATTTTCCCCTTTATCGTTCATTTTTTATCGCACGTGTTGATTCCTCACAGTTGTCCACTTCCTGTTACTCGATTTTGTTTATTTTACACGTACACTTTACTTCTGTAACATTCAAAATTTGTATACAACGAATTAGGAATAAAATAAACGACAAAAATAAATTCCATAACATATTTAGAAATATGTATAAAACTATCGTACCATAATTGAAATAGATGGTAACCTATCAAACCCCTTAAGGTAATTAATTTGTTCTATATTTTTCAGTTTTTGTTTTTCGAACATCCGATTATACGATTTGTAATCGAAGTTTCATAAATAACGTTGATTGAATTCATCTCTCTGATATTAATTGATTTCATTTCAAGCGATTTAAAGGGGGTATATAAAAGATTTAATAAAACGAAACGAGAAATTAAGGTGTAAAAAAGAAAATAAATAAAAAATTCGACTAAATGTAAAAATTAACAAATAAAAACAAGAGAGACTAAGTGAGAAAGGAAAAAAGAAAAGGAAAGAGAGAGAGAGAGACGAGTCATCATAGCTCAGAAAGAAGAACCGAGGACTTCCCTCCTCAAGATAGTATATCCTTCGAGGAGCATAAAGCATAGCCGTACTTACTTCGACCGCACATTTCGTTCGGCGTACGACTCGCATCCGAAGTCTTAAAACTACCTTAGACGTTTCTTGGCTATGGGTTCTTCTCTACCAAGAAAGAAAGAAAGAAATAAAGAAAGAAAGAAAGAAATAAAGAACGAGTAAGAGAGAAAGAGAGAGGGTGAGTTTCGAAGAGACGACTAATTCTGACGTACGTAAAGGACGAAAGATGAACGTTGAAGGAGGAAAGAGGAAAGGAGAGTGGGAAGAAGGGGAGGAAGGAAGGAAGGAAGAATAAGTGCATAAATAACCGGACGATCGTGGGTGACGAGTTTTCGCGTGGCGCGAGACGAACTTTAAATCTTCTTTCAAACTTTGAAGAACGACGCACGTCGTAATGCAGGGTTGCTTGAAAACGAGGCCGACCACGTCATCCGTCTCTCTTTTTCACAGAGGATATTCTCACTGTGTCCAAGAGTAAAAGAAGAAGAAGAATAAAAAGAAGAAGAAGAAGAGGAGGAGGAGGAGGAGGAGGATGTTACTGGGCGTTGCAGGACGTTACGTTCTGGCATTGGCAGGCGTTTGAAATACACTCGACTGAATTATGAACCGTAAAAACACGCTGAAGCAGATAGGAGAACGGGAGGAGGCCCTCGAAACTCACAGAGGCCTTTTACCCGAGCGTAGGTAACCGTATTCACCCTCGTGCGGAGGATTATTACCGTACGTGATTCGGTGTGGTCTGCGGTCCGAACACCTCGCCGGAACTTCGAATGCCTCCGTGGTAAACTTCGCCAAAAAAAAAAGAACGCGTATGAAAAAAAAAATTAGTCGGAGAAAGAGAGAGAGAAAGGCGAACCTTCCGAACTAAAACCAAAACGTTGCGTCGTCTCGTCGCCGAACGTTATATTAAAAAAAAAAAAAAAAAAACTTATCCCTTCCTTCCACCTTTCTCGCACCCTTCTTTACCTCATTTAAATTTCACGAACAAAAAATTCGGAGAAAAGAGAATGAGAAATATCAATCGAAATTCGTTGGGTCGATTCGTAAAGAATATTGAAAAATAAATTCATCCCTTCCGATTTACCCTTTCCCCCCCCCCCACCCTTCCACGCGTCACTAGTTTCTTCTTATTTAAGATTCACGAAAGAAATTAATTAACTAGAGAAAACTCGTCGCGAACGTTAACAAGTAATCATTACCCTTTACCTTGCGCCCTTTACCTTCCCTATTCCATGTTACAAATGAATTATAATACGTACTAGAAATATTGTCGAGATATTTGCGAATGATTTGAAATTATATATGATTTTCGAATTGTACATGTGTAATAATGAAAGAAACACATGTAATTTCTCATGTGTGTATTTCTAATTCTTCAAGAAACGCAGATTAATCAATCCTTTTTTGGAATAAACATTAATAGAGATAGTGTACGTGTATATACGTACACGAATACATACGTCAACGATCCTTGAAGATACATAAGTAAATACATAAAAACGTGTAATATTCTATAAACTCCGATAGGACATTTATAAAAATATAATCACCTCGTTACCCTTGGCCCCTTCCTACCCTTTTTCCTGTCACCGAAGAACCATGCAGAAAGAGAAAGCCGACCAATTCTAAGTTTTAATAAGACGACTTTTATACGTACGTATGAGAATGCACGTGTGTACAATAAAAATACGCGATCCATCGATGAGAATAAGTCGTAAGTTTGTTCGAGATCTCGCAATTAAAGTGTAAAAAGGATTAACGATTAACGTGCCAACGTGATCGACTTTTCTTTTATTTCAACTTATAAACGTCATCGAAAGACAGAAAGAGAGAAAGAGAAATAGAGAGAGAGAGAGGAGGAAAATATGTTTTTCAGTCGTGAGAAACGAGTAATGTAAGTAAGCAAGTAAGTAAGTAAGTAAGTAAGTAAGTAATTATATCTTCGAGACGATATCTTGAGAAAGCTTAAAGATACCCGAAGGAATGAATGACCTTAGCAAGAAAGAAAGAGAGAGAGAGAGAAGAACTTCCTTCTCTGTGTTGGTGATTTACGAATCATTAGTCGATGGACGTGGGACTTTGAGCAAAATGACGTCCCGTCATCGTGCACACGATTCGCACGACTCTAAAGAATTCATCGTGTTGTTATGTCGTGTATGACAACGCGGGAGAAACGCTATGAAAAAAGGAAGAAAAAGGGAAAGAGAGAGAGAGGTAGGAATAAAAATAAAAAGACGAATAATAAGAAGAAAAAGGAAAGAAATATAAGCAGAAATAAAAGAAGAAGAATAAGAAGAAGAGGGGGAAGAAGAAGAAGAAACGGACCGTGCGATGTCCGTGCCCTCGATTAATACACCGCTCACGGGCTACCGTAACGGTTGTCGTGCCATCGGAATTAAGATGCACATTTACACAAATGTACGGTTGTATGACGTTAAAGCTCGCGGACGGATAATGCCGTGTCACCGTACGTGCCGCTCCTACGTAATCGACGTACGCGGAATATCGCGAAGTATACGCGAGAGTTCGAAAAACGTCCGGTTGTTCTTCTCTTTCTTTCTCTTACTCTCTTTCTCCCTCTCTCTATTTCTCTTTCTATCTTTTTCTATCCTCTTTGACTCGCTCCAGCTTGCTTTTCTTGGATTCGCCGATCGATTCCGATATATCTCGCGTGCGCGCATGTAAATACCGTATAAATCGCGCACGCCACTTTACAACCGTGTTAAGACGGAATTTATAATGCTTCCTCCCAGTTAACATAGAGCTACCGAACTCACTAACTCTAACTCGCTACAAACTTTCGATCAACTATTTTCGAATTTTTTTTTTCTCATTTCTTTGTTTCTTTTTTCTTAACCTTTTTTCAAATTATTTCACTTAATTTTGGAACATTTATTTGATTAATCATGTATGTATATGTGTATGTTATATTAATTATATATAAATATTATACACAAATATGTGTAATATTAATAAGAGTTCGGTAGTTTAATTTACAACAAAATTTCTATATACCACACGGATTTTAATTATAATTATTAACTCGAATATACGTATTCACAATTGTTTGTAGTATAATAGAATAATTTTGTTAATAATACACAACAAATTCTAATATATAACAATTTCCTACATAATATTTCTAACCGTTACAAACAAAATTCTACATTCCCATTAATACTAAAAAAAAAATATACTATTATCCAGCCATGAAATAAAATTATTAGGAAGTAACATTTACAGTAATAGAGAAACGAAATAAATGTGTTATTTAACAAAAGAAATTGTTGAAAAATTCTGTAAAAAAAAAAGAAAAAGAAAAAGAAAGATGCAAAGTCACATAGGACATAGAGAAGAAGATTGACAAGAGTCGCGTTAAGCGTTCGAGGACATTTACGTTTAAGTGGAAGAAAGGAAGGAAGGAAGGAAGGATAAGGAAGGAAGGTAAAGGTCTACGTAAAGAAAGATTTATAAAGGAAAGAAAAGGAGGAAAAGGAGATGGACATTAGCGTAATGACGTCCAGAGCGCAACGTAATGACAGGAGGGTCATCGGGCGATACCGCAACGGATCATACGGCGAGGTCGCGGTGCTGAGGTCGTTCCCTCCACCTCGAGCAAGCATCACCACCTCCTTCTCCTTCCCCTCCTCCACCCCGTACCTCCCTCCTTCTCTTTTTCCTTCTGGTACTCCTCCATTGCCACCTCTCTATCTCTTCTCTCCCATTTCTTCTTCTCTTTCCTCCTTACCACCTCCACCACCTCACCTTCCCAGCCCTACAGTCGAATCCCTTCTTTCCTCCTTCCTCCTCGTATTCGCAAATGCGCTCACGGAATGAGCTGCCTCGGTCCGGAGTTGCCCGCCAATAATAATTCTTACCGGATTCAATTTGAATAATGCCGCGTGCGGTTTCCATCGGCATGCCCGAGCACGCCTTATTATCTCACGTACCAACTCGCCTACTCGATATCCATCGAAGCTGTATCCCTTCACCTCTTCTCTTACCCTCCTCTTCTCTCCCCCTCCTGCTCTCTTCTCTTCTCTTCTCTTCTCTTCTTCTGCCGCTACTTCGTGCACCATTATATTTTTACCTTTCTCTCTTTCTATCTTTCTAGATTTTCTATCTCCCTCCTACTCTCTCTTGATTTCTTTACTTCTTTCGGTTTGCACCGAGAAGAGAATCGGTTTCACTATTTTCTCTTTTCTATAGCAGCTAGCTAGCTAGCTAGGCACAGAAAGCCAGCCGACCAAGTTCGCGCCGATTCTTGGCAACGAGAAACTCTCGCGCCACTGATTTATTTCCCCTTTGTCCCTAACCTTTTTTGATGTTTTTGTTTTTTTGTTTTTTTTGTTTTTACACTTAACTGTTATCCATCTTATAGCGAAATCAAGCTTCATAATTCTTCGATTAGGTACGGGAGACGGAATATTATTATCCAAAGTTTATATGTATGTGTGGTGGTGTTTAGTTGTATTATAAATATAAAGATTTATTCATCTTTA